GGAAGATTGATCCTCCAAGGTTAGAAACTCTATCTTTACCAACTCAATACAGGTATGTCTCTACAGTAAGGTGTTGTGTGTAAACAATTGCAGCAGGCAATATGTAGATATGAAATCAATAGCTTAGACAAATATTACAGTAACGTATGTTAGGTGTGAGGCATTTTACCGTCCTGCAGGGAAGATATGTGACTCTCAAAACGTTTTGATATCCCCTCGTATATATTCATTATTTGTACTATACAACAATCGTTAGCTCGTTTTTCGCAGGAAGATGGAATATCACATCTTGTACAGTCGTGTTTCTGTCTCATGGCACTTTAACGCAGTTATTCTGGGTAACATGTGACGGACCTTCCATATCGTGTTCAGTGAGATAGTCATTAACAAGGAAATCATTTGGCTATTGACAACACAACAAATTAAGGTAGTTAATAGCGATCTACAACTGAACACTTCCTAAACAGTCACCAAGGAAGCTAATATTTCACCTGTACCGTTACTATATTTATAACTGTTTAATTGGTAACTTATGACTGTAATACATTGATTCTTTTTTTATTTTACTGTAATTTAATTCGGAGTTATTGCCTTCATTACCTGTTGTTTGTTTGATTATAATATGTATGTTACAGTGTCTTCCAACCGCTAATGTACGAAAACAACGAGAAGAATAAATATATTCTCCATATAGATATGGTTGTTTAGGACAGCATTATTAATATTAATCCGACTAGTGAAAAATAATCTTAAAGAATACAAATGATAAAAAAAATTAATAATAAAAAATATACAAAAAACAAAAAACAAAAATAAAAAAAAATATAAAAGATAAAAAATAATAAAAAAAAAAAATTATAAAAAAAAAAAAAAAACAAAACAATAAATACAGACATACAATGTATATAGCCATGCGGAAGTCTGACTAAAGCAGCTTTTGAATATATTAGGATTGTGTAAACATGAATTTAGTGCCATGGCATCAAAAATATCAACATTATGTTTTACCTTGACATTGGTAAGATTTGAAAACAAATTAATCGCTTGTATTCCATATGTTAAACGAGATGGCCTCGATGTATTTCACAAGTTTCGAGTTCCTTTGAACTTGCTATACTCTTGACTTGACCATTTAAAATACTTTATCACTTGTGTTTAATTTCATGATTTCTAAATGGTTATCGGACTGAAATGCACGGTTTCTCCCCATTTTTTTAGTTCTTTTAACTAGCCACCTGTTAACTCTTATTCCATAATAAATTCCCTGCAACTTAATCCACTTATATAACATAACACTTTATAACTTTAACCAGGAGTGTATCAATAGTAATGTTTTCGATGGAGTTTGGTGTTGACGTGGGTTGTCATATTTACATGTGAAAATATGTTTATAACTCACCTTTAAATCAAAAATCATTGCTCACGACAATTGGTTCACCGTACCATTCTCTAGATAGAATTTATGGAGTTGTGTTTTGTTTTGTTTCTGTAAATGTTTACGTGTGTGTAACCTATCAGGTGAATATAACATTATTGATGATTGGATAGACATATAAATGGCTTGGTCGATTGAACAAATTTGATCAAACATGATTTTATTTTCATAAATTGACACGCATTCTTTTAATAGTCTGCTATAATTGCCTTAGTTTTATAAGTCTAAACGGTTAAAAAATTCCTTTAATTATGGTGATGTATGTCCTATTTTTAGAGTGGAAATTCCTAATAGGAAGTGCATATGTGAAAATTATTTACACACTTGCATAATGTACTCGATATAGATATGAATGGGTCACATGTATGTATATTATTCAACTAGGTAAATAATGCTTGTCAAATGTTTGAATGTCTTTGGTTAAATCCTTATCCAGTGGTCGACCGATTTTCTTGATGACCCACAAAAATTGCAGGTCGTATGAATCACGTGTTTGTTTCTTTTTGTTTCCCTTGTTTTTTGTTGACCCTAAAGTTTTGTCTATTAGATATTACTAATATATGTAAGGACATGTTTTCACAAAGACTGATAATTGTGAAGGTTTGATAAACCACATTATAATGGTCGAGTACCTGTAGATAAAGACAAGGTACTTAAAGTAATTAAAACATAGGAAAATAGCGATAAAAAGGTTTGTAAAGGTCTGGTTCGTATCAATTTAGCGAAAGAAATATTTCTGTTTTGTTTTTGGTACTAAAAATCCTTCTCAAAGGACAGTTTATTTCTTCTAGATTACAAATGCAGAATTCTACTTTCCTAGACTTGCTTTTTCAACTACTGCTGTATTATGTGCGTATGTTTTGTCAATGTTCACTTTTAAAATAAAATGTATGTCGACTTCGTTATTGTCACTGTGTAATATCTGTGTATCAAAATATACTAGCGGGAAAAGAAACTGTGCATGTGTAAAATGCTCAATTTTATTGATTTAAGCGAAACTTTCCACAGGTAAGTTGTGTATGTCTCTCCGTCATTTACACTGGTCAGTGCATGTCCACTTCTCCGATTTCACGTTCACTTTCAGCCAGCACCCAATCGCAAAAACGTTTGTCGCCTCAACCTGTGTCAAAGCGTAATGTAAATACTTGTAACACACAAAATCATCATAATTTTGAAAAACGTCTTTGATACACCATGCCAATGTTGCATGAAGCTGACAGATGCCGCGTTGTTAGGCATGATCGAAACTGGTGTACGTCATACTGACTTTTCCAGACAGTTTGTCGTCCCAAGGTGTACCGTCGTGTTGGTGAACGTTTCCGTGCCAGTTGTTTGATCAACGACGTCCATTCCACAGAGGTAGTGTCATGGTCTGGAGTGGGTCTAAATCCATTGCAAAACACTTCTTTTGGTTGTGGACGGCACACTTACAGACATCAGATACCGTGACAAAACCATCCGGCCTCACGTCCTTCAATTTGTGCGGCAACGTAACGCCACGCTGTAATAGGATAACACTCACCCGAAGGTCGCGTGGGCCGTCACCGAGTTCTTGATCCAGAACAGTGTTAATGGTGCTGTCCTGGCCTGCAATTTTACCGGATATGGGATGAGATGCATTGTCGCTTACGTCGCCTAAAAATCAGCCGTTGACCTTACCTGACCTGTCACATGCGCTTGTGAGAATATGAGAGCATTCCTCAGATAATTTTCAGCACACTTGTCGCATCAATGAGACGTCGTTGTCAAGCATACATTGATTCCAGTGGTGGATATACAGGGTATTGATGAGCTGAACTTTGTTTAGAGAACGTCTGTGAAAACTGATCTCTATCCAGACGCTGCTGACACAATAACCATATTAATTAAGCTGGTGTTTCATAAAGGCAAGATAAAATCCTGTTGAAAATATTTTGTCGATTTCTGACGTACCTCCTAAGTTATAGCTTATTATACCCATGCGCAGTTTTTTTTAAGGTAGGCAGTGTTAATTACTACGTGGAAATATCTTGATGTGAATTGTCCTGGTGATCAGAATCATCTTAACATATTTTTTTCGATAAAGATTCCCAAAGATAATATCAAAAGCGAGGGCGAAACTAACACTGTGTGAATATCAACAGCGAGGGCGAAACTAACACTGTGTGAATATCAACAGCGAGGGCGAAACTAACACTGTGTGAATATCAACAGCGAGGGCGAAACTAACACTGTGTGAATATCAACAGCGAGGGCGAAACTAACACAGGGTGAATATCAACAGCGAGGGCGAAACTAACACTGTGTGAATATCAACAGCGAGGGCGAAACTAAAACTGGGTGAATATCAACAGCGAGGGCGAAACTAAAACTATGTGAATATCAACAGCGAGGGCGAAACTAACACTGTGAATATCAACAGCGAGGGCGAAACTAACACTGTGTGAATATCAACAGCGAGGGCGAAACTAAAACTGGGTGAATATCAACAGCGAGGGCGAAACTAAAACTATGTGAATATCAACAGCGAGGGCGAAACTAACACTGTGTGAATATCAACAGCGAGGGCGAAACTAACACTGTGTGAATATCAGCAGCGAGGGCGAAACTAACACTGGGTGAATATCAACAGCGAGGGCGAAACTCGCATTCTCCAAATTTGCTATGGATTATCCTACGTAGATGATGACCGTTTTTGTATTCAGTAATGTTTCGTGATATTTACATGATTGTGTGTCTTATGTAAATAATTGTTATCTGTATATGATTAATATACTTACTTAATTGGTAAATACAAAAATAATTTATTAGAAATAAAATATTACTCCGAATTATATTCTCCAGCTTCTCTTTAAATGAACTGATTGTTATAGCACTGTTTGCATTATACCACGGGGACGATATAATCCCTAAAAGAATTTTTGACACCTGACATTGACAAAAGTAAATGTTTGAGTCTAAGGGGACAATGCCGTCTGGTGACTTTGTTTATTTATTTTCCATATGCAAATCAATGCTGAATTTTCTCTTGAGTACTTTTCCACTGTTATTTGAATATGTCAGCTATATATAGTATCATACTGGGTAACCAATGGGATCGACTGTTACTACGACAGCGTGTCCAGCTGACAGTACGGATATGAAGTGCTGAAACAAACAGTGTGCATCATTCGCTGATAGTGTACAGACAATAATGCATGTGAGATACAGAAAATATAAGTATTAAAGAAGATCATTTTAGAACTAATTCAATGTGGAAGGCTGTGAGATTTAAAATTGATATTGTTCGTTCAATAAAACCCGGATAACATTATCAAGACACGTAGGCATATACGGGTAAGTTCTATTTTAAGATCTACGTTTCAAGATGAATATGCCAAAAGATTTCAAACATAATATCATAGAAACATTCATTTTGACAAAAAAAATATTAAATGGTAGTAATATATGTATATAAATTGTGAACAAAGAAAGGTATACAAAATGGCCGCTCTGGCTATAAATAGAACCACGCAAACGCATATTGATTTGGTCAACATACCGAATTTATCTAACAATCACATTCTGTTTCGTCTTTAGTTCCGAGATGCACAAAAGAGTCCATCCTCACCAAGGGAAGCGAATTTCTAAGAATGAAATTCGACAGATTGAATTTGATGACGGAAATGAAGAACGCATTCGACACGTATCAAAATCATCAGTATCTTTCCACATACAGGTGGAAGAACAAAGATCGAAATCAACATCATTCTTCAAACCAAAATGGATGAGGTCATCCGACGAGGGCCAGAAAGTATCCCGAATGGTTAAGATCAAACGATGGCTGCTTAAGTCCACCCTTCCAAAGCATCACAAGAAAAAGTCAAACATAATTCTAAAAGAACAACTGAATGCTATTGACTATGATGGGGTTGATAATCCAGGATTCGTAAATGACGAAATCGAAGAGGAGGAAGTTGAACCTTGTGTTTTTCAATTAAGCAAGTTTCTATATACGGAAAATATATGTCCAGAATCACAAATTAATGATATGCCTCTCATAGAACTTAAAACTGTTGATTTGATTGAGAATGATACATCAATTGGACAGACATCGGATGGAAACTTTCCGCATCTCGGAGCTGTCTGTCCTGTACAAGATATTTGTCCCTGGACAGGGAATGCAAACACAGTGCAGCTACAAATGTTCAGTATGGTAATACCGAATTTAACAAGGTCTGTTTTGCCGATGTTGGATATCAACCAGTGTTCTGGATTTTCTGGTATATACAACGACAGGGAAAACGAAAATAATTATGTCACAAATCACATCCAACATATTGTAGTTATCAAGTCTACAACACAGCGACTCATTCGGCAAGAGAAAAGGAATCACGTGCTAAGGAGAAGACTAATGGAGATGACGACAACCTTGGTAAAGCAGTCCAAGACGATCAACAGACAGAATAAATGCATAGACATGTTAAGCGACAAAGTATCTTGTCTCACGAGCAAATTGAAGAAAAATAAGGAAAAGCGTGCTGTTGTAAACCAACATATTCACGTGGAGAACGTAGAATCATTTGAAATGTCTCTTGGTAGAAATAATTAAGAAGGGAAACTGATTTTCCCCTCATTCCCACTTAAAGGTTGAAATATTGTTATTATATTGTATCCCATGTGACTTTCATATCATGCACGAATGCTTTGCTTTACTATCAATGTTGTCTACATAACTAAGAAGTTCTGATAGTATTTGTATATGATATTCTGACAATCCGGATTGTGAGGGAACTTTAAAAATAAGATATTTTGTAAAGATTTTCCCTTTGTTTTGATGATCCTTAACACAACTGATGACAAAAACCAGCTTGCAAATTCCATCAAAAGTAACGATGAACTTATTACTAGGCATTCAAGCAAAAGTCGAAGTAGAAATCCCTGCCATCAACGAATCAGTTGTGTGGCTGTAGTAGTGTTTATCAATAGAGTTGATTTGATTAGTAATGAACAGTCGAATATGTTACAAATACATTTGATATCGTTTAATCACAGCCAATATCTTCATGGAAATTTCCTGTCATATTAGTAAATTTTACGTCATGTTTGGGTCTAGATCACTCCCATTTTCTATTTATAGAGAAATGGTTTAATCGATTATGACTGTTCATTCACAGAAAATATACTTTCTTTTGGCGTAACTGATTTGTCGTAATAATTAGGCGTTTACTATCTGTATTGTATTTTGACATTATCTTCAAGCTGTTTGGGACATGAGATACACAGATATAAGATCAGACATTAGGTCAAAGTAGTGAAGCATCATAAACTCAATGGAAATACCGAGCGAAATGCTTTATACTGTTACCGTAGTTATATCACCTGTCGTAGATTAAACAATCCTTACCTAGTTTCCAAAGTAAATGTAGATTAAATGTTAATTTATTTACAGTTTAAATAACCGAATCTTGACAAATGTGAATCCAAATGTCCTTTACAAGGCGTGAAAGAGAAAACAGGAAACGAAATCAAATATTGGGTAACTTTAATACAAAGACATGTGTCGGAACAAAAGGCCAACATGAATAGTTTAGATATGAATAACCGGGGTTATCAAGACCTCCGCTTGTGTATCATATTGCCATATTTATACATATGGCTTAAATTTTACTTAACTCCAGTATATAAGGAAATTAATGTGCGACTGAACCAACATAGATTTGTTCTTTTTTCAATTCATAAAAATGGTGCATCATGTAAAAAAATAAACATGTATATGTAGATATATGATGAAATGTTCCAGTCCTTTTTGACTGTCATAAATTGTGTGAGTGTATTTATGGCTTATCTCAGCTGGGTAGAGTGTACGCTCTGGACACAGGTGAGTTAACAAGTCGAAAAACAGGTCGCACCAGGAAATGTAAATATACGAACAGGTTTAAATGTACGTATAGTTATTTATAAACACATGTGTGTCGTTTATATATTCTTGTGTTTTAGGTGTCAAGGACGCGGAAAAATACAGAATACGCTTATATTGTACCTTTCAATGTATTCACTATTCGATGTTTAAATAGTTGATTCACTGAAAGGATTGATACAGCTTTCCAATCGTATTCTGAAATGTTCGATTATATAGGATTATTCAGCATACCTTGTTTCCATTTGTAAATCTAACTTGTAAAACTGTTTGTGATATGCCTCAGTGAAATCGTTATTAAGGTTACTGTCTCAGGGGATAGAACATTGTTAAATAAATACAAGTTAATAGCACCTTGTACTACAAATTCAGTATAAGATACCCCAGAGCCAAATTAGGAATTACTCTGATTCATACAGTTGTTTCGTCCAATGATAAAGTCCTCAATGGTTGAAATCTGGGAAGCGACTAATGAAATGCAAACTGGAAGTCAGTAGGTTTGTTGCCAACATCTAAATACCATAACAGAACACTATTTGTTCCCAAGTACATGAACAAGAATTACAGAGATATTTGTGGCACAGAGTTGTAATACGCTGTCTTGTATTCGATATTTATTTTTAGCCGTAGGATTATTTAATAGACTTGTATTTGTATAACAGAGTCCGACCTCCACTGAAGGTTAACTCGGATTTATGTTAAAGCCTATTGCAAACTTCTTTTCCGGATAAACAGCTAACACATTCTTGATATCCCGAGATACCCTACTATCTGGAAATTCATTATTCCGGAAGTTTTCGTACTAGTCAATTTTATTCATTTTTGTGTTCTGCTTTACTAAATGTTGTTATTATTCTTTTATATTTGTAGTTTAATGTTTGATTGATAAGCAAGTCATACATATAAATTCGTTGGTGCTATTTCATGAAAATAATCAATAAAAATATTAAATCTGGAAGAAATAAGTACACATTGGAATAGTTATATAGTTTATACAACACACGTTGATCAATCTAAATTATGTAACTATAATGATAATTATATATCAACTAAAAAAATATAAACTATATGTTTACCAAAATATATTTAAACATGGTCATCTATTAAAAGGAAGGGGGTTATTTACTAAAATATCTTTCAAAAAATTTTGATTAATTGAAAATACCTGATATTATATTGATTGATATTGGATGGGATTCCGTCCCTATATTATTATTGCATTTGTATATTATATTTTCGTTCAATACATTTTACTCATTGTTGATTAATTTCAATAAGTCGTGCGAAAATCAGGTGACAAAGTCAAGGTGCTAGCAAACATGGCTTCACATTGATTAAGTGTTTTCATTGGTAGGTAAGAAGGTCATGACCTTTACGTGGCAATTTGACTGGAAAATAGAACTAGCGTTATTGTTTTATTATATGAAACATCGCGATGTTTTATTTCTTGTTGAAATACTTTTCTATATAGATGAAATAATTTTGGAACATCCAGTAATTTAATTTGTAACTGGAAAAAATATCCCCAAATTTGTAATAACTGGTCAAAATTAAAGTAAAACAGCATTCAATAGTTACAGCAATTGTGCAAAGAGGGAAACCAACCATCACTGGACAATAACGATTAAAATCGCATTGATTCTTAAAGGTTCTATGTTTGGCTAAGCATTAAATAATTCAGGTGAAAAATCTATTTTGCCGTTATCATTGTTAAATAACACTTTGTTTACTTTCCACAGAGATAAATAAAACATGTTTTATTGAAATTGTTATTGTTGTTTTTATGTAAGTAAATGAAAGGAACACAAACGAAAACCGCTACAAAACCTGTTTTATTTGATTGGTCATATAACTTATCTAAAATTATTCTACAAATATTTTTTATGATATTTCTCTTTCTGAAGAGAGCTTAAGCGTATATAAACCAAAAGAAAATGACTTTAATTTCTGATCATCATTCCAACAAAATCCGGTTTTCAGTGTTGTTTTTTCCATAATCTCTTTTGGTAATGGGATACATTCAAAGAAAACTTGATACTGATCTGTACAGTGTGTAGATTTAACTCTGTATCCACAAGGAAACTCACAGCTCCTAACTAGAACACAATGGTTTATACTCACGCTTTAGATTCATTTGCTATCAGTTTGAGGTCAGGAAAATCAGAGAGCGGTGCTGTCCAATTTCGCGTCAAACTCACGGTTCCACGAGATCTCGCGGCGTCCACGTAACGTTGTAACATTTGATAAGTTCGGTGAAAAGTTACATACATAATAAAAGCGAACTCAAGTTTATTAATAGGACAAACATTTTGAAAACTAGATACTGGTCTATACAGGGTGTAGAATTAACATTTTTATCACTCAAATTAAACACACTTTACACTACGCTGACAAAAGTACAAGATTAACTTACATATGTGACAAAAGTCAAGTAATAAATCAAGCAATGAGAAATTGATGCTTCAAAGTTCAGATTGAAATATGATAATTCTCCAAAATGTAATGGGCCTTTATACATTTCTCGTTGAACAGCTTGGGATTGGAACAGTTTTATATTTGATTCCTTTATTTTCCAGTTATTAACAGTTTTCTGAACAGTTATCAATACCTGATTACCTTATTTACCTGTAAAAGTTACCTGTACAACAATTCTGCACCAGACTATAACTCATTATCATCACAACTGACCTCCTAAGTAAACCTGTTGTCATAGGCAGAGTTGGTGTTCAGGGAAGACCCCTTTTCACATGTCCTTCTACTACTAATAAGCCTAGGGGTGATTCGTGTTGAATTGGACCCTATCAGCCGTGACGTCACAGTTTCCTTAGGTGAGGTCGTCGATCAACATATTTAATTTTATGAAGAGTACATGAATGAGACGCTGAATTATGTCATGGACTTAGATAACACATTTCTGTACTTATAATTTTAATAATAATAATATAAATGGGTCGCGAGGTTCACTTTTTTATCGGTATACATGCAATATACACGAGTTAAGATTCAGTATCTTGATTTAATCAAATAATCTCGGTCCACTTCCTGAGCCTACGGTGTGAGACATGGGTATAGATAAATAACACTAAACAACTTAGTACATTTGTGTACTTACTGTCACAGCAAAGGGACGTCACTAGGTAGGTAAATGTTAACCTGGACTTGAAGTTAGTTAGTGTACTTGTGTGGGTTACGCTTCTTTGGAATTTCCATTTTACAACAATGTCCCCAGTCATGATAACCAGGAAATATATAAGTACCTACCGTGAAAATATATCAATGAATAAAATGCGGATGTCTGAACAGATGGTTCATTGAAGCATTACTTATTTCTGTGAGACTAGAGCGGGCAGCTCTCCCAGTAGGAAATTCCTGCATTTAGTGAGCACACCAACACGTGGTAACTTCCTGATATCGCTGGATTGAGTATAGAGTATAAATAATAAAAAATATCTTTCCGGATGGGTCAAGGGTCACCAGGACCTAGTCGGTCGGTTGTTCTGGAGCTCCGGTGAAAAATTATCTTTTTGTATGTTTGCACGATATATTGGAACTTAATTTTCTGTCAACATCTAGTTAATATGCTTAACTAGTTGACTGATATATCGGTCTGTGATATTTTCTTCGGAAAATATACTTTTGGAGCAGGAACTTTTGAGAACATGGACTGAGTCTAGTCACTGACCACTACTCAC